AAAGGATGATATCAAGTGGATGATTAGTTATGGGTGTAGTCAAATTAGAAAGAACTAACTGTTTCTGATTTTCTTTTTTATCTAAACTCTCATATTCTTTACTTGGGTGATTGCCGATGTTTTTTGGAAATGATTGGCTCAATATCTGAAGGAGTTGCATAGTAAGACAGTAATCTGTCCTCTGTAAAGCTGCAGTCCTATAATTTTTATTTTAGTTTGGCTAATTGTACTTTCCAGGTGGAGTTTATGGAACATAATGACAGACCCCTTCCTATAGATATCCGTCTGCTGGGTGCTCTAGCGGGGAAGGTGGGTTTATTTTGACATTGTGCAGTCGATTGATATATACCTTTTGCTATTAATTAGTTAAGTAATATCCATAATGAGCTAATCTTTTCAGTGTCGAGCATTTGCAAAGGCCCTACAGTGACAAGGAAATGGAATTTGAAGGCGCACTTTCAGATAGGAGGGATGCGAATCCTGTTGCTGTAGTTGTAGTTCTAATCCATATAAATAATCTATTACATCAATATGAGGTCTTGATTTCTTAGTTTTTTGTTGCAGCTTACATATGTTTCATACCGACTTTCTGGTGATTACACTTAATCATGCTTGACATCTTCAGGCAGCGATTGGAATATTAACATATGCTCAGCAGCATTTGGGGGTTCAGTTGAAGGAGTCATGGTACTCTTGATTGTTGCATTCTGTTGTACTGTTTTAGTTGCAGCTCATCTTTTCCTAATAATCTTAGTAAGTTACTATAGGCTGCACAAGCTTTAACGTGAAATGGTGGTCTCAAATGTATCTTCCGCTTCACTGATGTCATTGCTATTTGTCGATTTTTAAGGTATGAGAAGTTGCAACTCTGGGACGATGCTCTTAAAGCATACACTGCTAAGGTGTCACAAGCTTCGAGTCCACATCTTTTTTTGGATGCTACTCTAGGTTTGTAATATTGGAACAGTTACTCCTTAATCTGGTCTACGACTTCTACTTGCAGAACTACTGAAGATATTTGATCCTAGTGATAGATCATATGCTAGATCCAAGTTTTCCTTCAAAGAGTAGTGACCTTCACCTTTGAGATTCATTATTTGAAAAAAGGAGTAAAGGAAATCGATTGACCCCCTCTAACTACCTGATCTAATACTTTAACGGTTCTAAGTGGTAATCGAATGCATGCTTTCAGTGAAATTTGTTTCGTCACTTGTTCTTAAATTGCTTGGTGGCTTAAATAAATGCTAGTTGACCCGTGGAATTGGGTTGTGTTATGCATCTAGTTCATGTTGAAAAAGTTAATTTTATTCATATTATATGCTCTTTATTTTGTTGATGACGATATGTATCCTTCTCTGTGTATCCTTAAGGACACATGTGATGCCTTGCTGCTCTAGCTCGGTGGGAGGAGCTTAACAATCTTTGTAAGGAATACTGGACGCCAGCTGAGCTGGAAATGGCACCAATGGTTTGTCAACTTATATATAATATCTGATAGCTTTTGTTATTTCGATAATCATAATGAATGCATGTTTTGGACGAGTAGGATCAGATGGCAGAATATGTTTCTCGGCTTGATATGGTGATGAAACCAAACTCCGAGTCTTGGGAAATACTGCTTCTAGCAGTGATGGAAGTAGTAATGGCACCTTTTTTAGGGCCTTCTTCTAGTTCGTCGAGGGAAGGTAGTCCATCCATTTTTCACTCATTCATCTGTTTTGATGTTGTGGCATGCTCTGCTCGTGTAATCTTTGTACCTGCACCCCTTCTTCCATCAGTACGACAAAACACGTGAATATTTCGAAAGAGCAAGGAAATGTTTGGCAACCGAGCTTGCGGCACAGGTTTGTGTCTTCATCTCATTATCTTGTCATCTCCTCCCCTTTTATACTCATTTGATGACTTATACATGATTTTATATCAAAATTCTTGACAATTCTCTATTAATTCATCTAGGTTCTTGAGAGCTATGAACGTGCTTACAACAAAACGGTTCACGTTCAACAACTTTCTGAATTAGAAGAGGTGACATATATTTTTAGCCTTTTCTATTAAGTGATTCCTAATTGCTGTGATTTTTCATGATCTGAGAATTCATTTTCATCTCATTCTTATTAGGTCATTGAGTACTGTACTCTTCCTCCTATGGGAAACCTTCTTGTTGAAGGAAAAAGAGCCCTTTTTCCCAATATGTGGAATGAACGCATAAAGGGTGCATAAAGAAATGTCGAGGTAAATTTCAGAACTTCCCTCAGTGAGTGAGTTGCATTTTTGTTGTCCAATCATGATTTTTTGATATTCTCAATCCGAAAATGCTTACATGAGAGCTTGGGTGACTAGTTTATGGCCTTTGTATTCATTCTCAAACTCATGGTGTCTTACAGAAACTCCTTTGTCATGACCCAACCCACTGGGTCATGCGGGCACCTACTATAACACCTAGATAGGAGAACCCTTAGTCCCCAAACGATTTATCATGCGGAAAAATTAAGAAGATAAGAGATAAAACGGAAAGTTCATGAAGTTTACCAGACACTGAGTTTAAGCAAAACCAAGATTGAATTTCTTGAATAATTAACACCCCAGGGATCTATCCTAAACAGGTACAGGAGCTACTAAAGATACGTCATGTAAATAGAAAAATATTATGACACAACTCCCACCATAGGGAAGGAAAAGTAGAACCTGTTGGAGATCATCTCCGTCTTCTCATATGAAACATCACTAACCCTGCAACAAGACTATGCTAAGTTGCATAGCTAAAGTAGTATCAATACAAGCAACACATGCCGATAGGCATCATTGTTCAACCCGATACCCAACAACTAATATAAAGAAACCAACCTGAAGTAAACATGCTACAAGGAAAATACCCCAACCAACCTTTGCACCCACACTCTGACCACCTTCTTTGTCTTAACCATAACTAGGGAGCAACATAGTGTTGGCCTTCTATTTGCATCGCTACCAACTCTGATTTAGATTAAGGCTTTACCTTTCTATCACAGATAGAGGAGTTCCCGAAACACACATTGCCCCCAACCTAGCTAACCAACTTACTACACGCCTACGATTCTCCATTACAACAATCCGACCCTTGACCACATATATAATGTTGCGTCCAAATCGCACACGCAAGTGTACGTGGTCGTTCAAGTATTAAAGTGGCTCTTATAAAGAGCCGGGTATCGTACCCACAGAGACTTACGATTAGAATAACTTAATTGTTCCAATACTTTCAGCTAGACACAAGTGTTATCAAAATTTCAAGAGTGATTTATTTTATAATCTAAGAATTAACCAAAATTAAACAAGCGCGATTCAATTTCAAGGTTTTCAAACAATGATTGGGTAAAGTCCAGGGCTACAACTCTTATCAGGATTCATGCATTTATATTATTTAAATGGATGTTTATCAACTATCGAATCAATGATCACATGGTTGAATATATGATTATGGTCTCCCTACCTCTAATCGCCTAAGATAAATGACAACCTAACTATATCATTGAGCGGGGATAGGTTGGACCAAGTACCGTGCATTACAATTTCTTCCTGTATAGTGACCAAGCATGGTTTCTAGAGAATATATCCCTATCCTAGATACAAATTAACCCGAATTATTAAGAGAAAATCATGCTCCTTATGCCCCACGTTCTATCCTCTTATTCCTCTCCCGAGTTCAATTCGGACAACGTTTATTTCAATGGTGATTAGGCATGAAATATGAAAAACAAGAACATAAGAGAGATTCATATGATAGTTTAAATACAATCCATAAAAACTAGAGAAAAGACATAAAGTCACCACTAAAGTTGTTTCGTATTTGCATAAAGACACCTTGATTTTGAAAGTGCCCTATCACCCCACATAACTATTTAATATCTTTGTAAATGGGCCATTTTGACCCATTTTCTCATCTGGGTTGTTACCACGCACATGAGGCGCGTGAGGCAGTGTTTTCATTGCCATTAACCATCTCTAAAGTGCCACATGTCATTTTATTTCTTTATTATTAATTATTTAATTAATTTATATCATCTTCCCCAAATTTTAAAGAGAAAAGAGCCGTTGGTAGCCCTAAAATCGATTTCAACTTTTTTTCCAAAGCAAGCTCAATGTTGGTGCTCTCTCTTTGATGAATTCATTATTTTCCATTATCATCTTCACCCAAATTCAAAAACCCAATTACCTTTTCTTTATGTTCTTCAACTTAGAAGATCCATTTACTTCATCCATTTTTATCACTTTTTTTCTTGTCTCTTGCTTTTCTTTTTTTATTTTTCTTCTTTTATACAAATGTGAACTCCATTATTCGATTGATTAGAGAGTACTATGAGACTCCATATTTATTCTTAGTTTTGGTCTAAATATAGAACTCCATTACCTTATTTTAGTAACTTGAGAGTTGAGTTGATTTTTTTAGTGATGATTTAGTGGCGGAAATAGTGTTGTAACAGGGAAGCATCATGGAGGCTACGTTGAAGGTGACAATGGCTGCTACTTTTTGAGGATTTACAACAAAGAACAAAGGATTTGAGTAATGAAGGTTGAAGAAGAAAGAGGAAAAGAACGAAAATAAAGTAAATAAAATAGAAAAATGAAAATGAAATTAAAAATTAAAAATAAAAAGAATTTAATACGTGACAAACAACAATTGGTGCGTGATTGCACTTCTTTTCTTGCAATTGAGGTTGGGTGAAAAGTGAGATATTTATAACACTCTTAAATTGTTCAATGGGGGAAATAGGACACCCACAAAGTTAAGGTGTCTTTTTGAAAATTCGAGACAACTTAAGTGGTGACTTTATGTCTTTTCTCTAAAAACTTAATCAATTACAATCATCTTTTAGCCACATCCCTAGAACTAGGGTATTTAGCTACTCATAATAGTAGTTTCGATCAAGCAATGTTTAATTAACATAAAGAGATCGAAAGTAAAAGTGTTTAGGAAAGAACCCTAAAAACTGATGAAGTAGCTCTCCAAATCGTTGTTCTTCAAAACTCAGAAAAAGAATAAAAAATAAAATAAAATATTAACCTATTTATACTAAAGTCGAAATGGCCAAATATTAACCTATTATTAACTAGAAACCCTAGGTCTAATAGGGAATCAAGAATCTGACTGAATTCTAGGGACCTAATGGGCGAAAGGAACCCACTAGTGAAATCCCACATACCTGGTGACGAATTCCACAGAGAAATCTTTCGATTTCGGGGCTGGAACTGATGAAATCTTGTTGCGTTCTTGAACTAGGTTTGGTCGCCTCTTTCTTCTCTCTAGCGTTCAAATTTTCTAAGTTTGATGAAAGATCTGACTTAGGTAAGTTCTAGTTATGTTTCTAGGCTAAAATTGAACCACATAATTTAGTGTTAAAATGACATAATTTAGGGGTCCAACGAAATAGAAAAAGACCAAAAGACCCCTGACTTAAGTTGCAGGCGGGGTTGACCACTGCCACTTTCACGGACCGTGAAAGGGACCGCGGACCGTGAAAGCCCTCGTGGTCTTCATTTGGTCTTGTGGTTCTAAAGGCTTGGTCCACTACCACGGCCCGTGTGGAGGACCATGGACCGTGAAGGTTCCCGTGGTCCTCACTTGCGCTGAGGTCTGGAGGCTCAGATCTGAGGGCCTACTGGTTGGCCTTCACGGACCCTACCACGAGTCGTGTGGAGGTCCCTGTGGTCCTCACTTAGGCTTGAGGGTCTAAAGGCTAGTCTAGGGGGGCAAATGCCTAAGTCTTCACGGACTCCCCCACGACCCGTCTTCAGGACCATGGACCGTGAAGGTCCCCGTGGTCTTTACTTGGGCGAGGGGTGTCAGAGGGCTAGGCTTTGGGGCCTACTGGTTCAGCCACTACGGGTGCCACCACATATCATCATCAAGACCACGGACCGTGAAGGTGCCCGTGGTCTGATGCCTGGGCCTGGTGACTTCCAAGT